TCGCCAGAGAACGGCCCTCTCACCTCAGCTGTGAGGGAAGTTTGCTTCCTTTAAGAGCTCTCTGGTCGCTGTTCTGTACAGGTCAGAAATCACAATGTCAACTGCTGCCGAGGAACCGAGTTCCCTAAATGCAATGGGAATAACATCACATAGGGATTCTGAGGAGGCCAGGGCCAAACTGCAGCACTTCATCACCAAAGATGAGGTGGGCATGGTGACTGTAAAGGACAGGGGCATCAAAGCACAATCAGAATAGTCTGACTCACAAAGACCTGTGATGCTGGCCCGTTGATCACAGTGCCTCTACAAAAGAAATAGATGGGACACATACTAAATTCTTATTTAACCTGTTTAAGCAAAGAATTCTAGGTCTAGTGAACAGAAGTCTGGCCTGAGTCACCAAAACGGAGAGCCACGGCCCCTTAATTGATTCCCGGGCTTGAGCCAGTTTATAGAACCAGAAACCTTTGAATGAAGGAAACGTCATGTCCCATGAAGAAGACTTTTTGTCACATTAGCAGAAATGCATACTGTTTGTCTTTCTCCTTGTTTTCCCCAAGAGGACCTGCAAGCAGTCAGCAGTGCAACAGCACAGGAGGAATATAAAAAGGATTTTTGAAGATTATTGGACACTGGTGCTGAACAGACTCGAATTCCATGAGACCCACCAGGAGACTAATTCCAGAAGACCCACACCCCCATTCAAGTCGCCCATTCAGCCAGCACAGAAGAGAGCTGGGTCTGGGGAGTGAGGTGGTTATGAACATAGTCAGGTGACGATTCCAAGTGTGGTGGCTTGTTTCAGATGTTGTTTCATTGCTCAGGCAAATTAATACCCATTGTTTTTATTTTTACCCATTTTAGAAATGTATCCACGTATAGTTCTTCAAATCATGGCTTCAATGCTTTCGAGCTGTCTGACCCAGAACACCATTTAGTCTTCAGTGCCTCAATCTCCCCATCTAGAAAATGGGATAACAACAGTACCTACTTTGAAGGGTTGCTGTGATGATTAAATAAATATAAGTGTTAATAAATATATAATTATATATATCATGTAATAGAAATATTACATGACACATAAAATATAAAAATTGTACCTTATATAAATATGAATATATAAAAGTGTTAGCTCTGGCTCTCTCTGACAGCTATGAACCTTTTCATCCATATGAAGAAATGGTTGAGGTTGAATAATAGTTGAGGAATGCAGGCAAAATAATGGCAAAGGTTTCAGAAATCTGTCAGCAGTAGCCATGGCTAAAAGCCCTGCCTGCCTTCCCTGGTGGAACTAGATTGGCCCAGAACCTCTGCAGATGCTGTTGTTGCTAAAGGAGAGCTTCCAGAACGCTTCCCTTAATTCATTGCCTTTTGTCACTTTTTGGTCCCTTCCCCCCTTCCTTCAGGCTACAGATCCCAGGAGTTAGGTCCAAAGGTACAAGTTCTGGCAGAAAAGAAGCTGTGACTAAGCACGCCTTCCACGGCTTGGCCTGCCAGAAGAAAAAGCCCTCTCCCCTTCCTGCACCCCCACTTTAATCATCCCTAGGAGAGAACAGGCCAAAGAAGTCTCCAGACTTTCAGACAAGAACATGCCACTCTATGGAAAAGGATTCCCAGCCCCCAGCTGTGGATGGCTTTGTCTCCCAGCTTTCCTGCCTATTAAACACATGATAGCACATTGAGTAATTGCTGGGAAATGGGACCCGAAGAATCTATTTCAAAGAACCGGCAGCAAGGTTGCCAAAAGAAAACTGACTGGGAGTGAGGTCAGTGCCTGGGGCTGGGGGCTGGGAGCACAGCCCCACCAGCTGGGAATCTTCGTGCGGCTGAGGCCCCCAGCCTGGTGCTGACTCTAAGAGGCTGAGAATTCAGAGCTTGGATCTGGGAGGTCACGGAGCTGGCCCCTCCCCCCTGAGCACAGGCCTCAGAAAGCACACATCTGTCACTTCTGCTCCCTTACAAGATGCCATTCTTCTCAGCGAGGCCCTGTGACAGACTGCTGCAGTCTGCACTCCCTGGCCCTCCTGGAGGCTGAGAACACAGTCCCTCTGGATGGGGCCACAGGATGGAAGAACACAGGTGCCCAGAATCACCTCCTGCTGTGCTCCCCGGGGAGGGGGGTGGCAAGAGTGCCCTTCTGCACACCGGGCACTGTTTGTTTGTATTGTCAGACTAATCAAACCAATCCATCCCGCACACGTTTCCTAAACACTCAATGATCACTATTAATCAGCAGGCTGGCAGTGCAGCAGCCTGCCCCAAGAGCCTCTTGTTATGATGGGAGAAGACTGCCAAATGGCCAGCTCGGCTCCGGATGGTGAGATACGGGTCTGGTCCAGACTAAGGAGGCAAAGGCATCTCCGCGAGCCATCTGGCCCGGAACAGAGATCCCTGGTGCTTGATAACGAGAAATGAGCAGGCCCTCACAAAGAGCAATGTTAAGAGTCCATCCACATGTTCCTGTATACCTCCTCTCACAATAGATGATCTTGCAGAACAAAGAGGGTGGGGGGAACCTCAGGGAAGATGGAAGTCTAGTTAGCTACCCCTACCTTAAAGACCTATGCATGTCCCCCAAAGCCAGAATCTAGAAATGGCCAGTAACAGCAGGAGGGACTTGAGCTAGGTAATCAGAAGTACTTCCCAATGTAAAGGGTTGCTGAAACTATTCTAGGAAACAGATCTTATGCAGGACCTGCAGACCTTTTACTCCAAGTTTATTAGTTCAGCTGCACTATGTTTATGTATGCTCATGTACAAGTTTGGTATGTAAATGGAGGGTACCTGGTATGTAATTTATTGGTGCCCCAATTTACAGGGGAGATCATTCTTTTCTGGATGCTGGCCCCATGGTGCTGACCAGACATCACTTGAGCGATTGGATTAACATCTGCATCAAAAAACATTTGCAAATCAGACAAGGTGCCAAGCTCTGGGTTGGAGACTGGGCAACCAAGTTCTGAAGGAAATATAGAGCTTACTAAGAGCATGCAGAGCACGTCCTAGGTGTGAAAGGCATGGCCCAGCAAGGACGTGGCCATTCAGAGGCAGGTGGCCAAGAAGTTGATGGGAGGAGGCCCTATAGGTGAGGCCCTTTCTTCCCCTGGAGCCTGAAGACCAGGGGAGGCAGACCTGAGGGGCACATCAGGATTGGCTGGTTCTAGTTGGGGGATTTATTTTGGGCAACTGCTGTCTCTTTTTGCAGGAATCTTCCCTGAAACAGTGCTGGGAACCACAGGCCTGTTAGAATTGTCACATGGAAGGCACATCCTTTAATTAGGGGCAGGGTCTTGAGGTAGAGAAGCCTTAGAAGTCCATTCTGCCCCCCAGAGCCTCTTACAGCCTAGGACAAGGCTCAGCACCCCATCCCCATCCCTCACCCACTTGAGGAGCAGGCCCACGGAAACTGCAGCTGCTCCCCAACAGCCCTGAGATGGCATCTGAGTCACAGAGACAGTCTCAGTGGCCCAGGCCCTCCTGAGCCAGGACCCCCAGGGGAAACACAGGGCCCCACCCCCTCCCCGGTAGGCCCCAGGCGTAAGTGCTTGGGAGAGCAGTTCTCAGCGAGCCAAGCCTTGAGTCCCCAGGGGGTAGATGGACAAGCCCCCAGCCTAGAAGGAACCCAGGGGTCCCTCCTCCACCCTGTCTCCACACAGAAGTGCAACAGAACCAGCAGCAACAGAGTCAAAGTTTCCATAAAGAGAAACCTGTTTTAAAGGCTACATGGCATGGTAGTTAGGAAAGAAGCCCCTGGGCCCGTAATGTGAAGGTTTAATTTCTAGCTCCACCATTCATTAGCTCCTGACCTTGTGCCCAGAGGAACCTACAAGGATGAATGAAAGTTGATGCTTGATTCTTAAGGTCTTATATCCTCATTGGTTAAATGGGAACAGATAATAGTACCTATCTCATAGGGTTGACCTGAGGAATACATGAGCCAATAGTGTAAAATGCTTGGAGCAACAACCAGAATGTTGTAAGCACTCAAAAACAAAAACAAAGCGCTGGCTATTATCATTGAGCCTCTTACAGCCTAGGACAGGGCTCAGCACCCCGTCCCCATGGCAATGGCGGCACCACCGTTTCTATACAGGGAGGTTTTACAGCAGCATCTCATGACCTGGGAAAGGGAGCTTTGACACTGATTTTGAAAATGCATTTACATAGCAAGGAAGCCTTTGTACCTTTTTCATCATTTCTTCATACTCTAAGGGGATAATAGAAATATGTTCTTCAAAGAGTTGTTAGGAGGATTTAATGAAATAATACATACAGCATCTTAGAACAGTGCCAGGCACTGAGCAAACCCTCAGTAAATGTCAGGTGTCTACTTGGGGTGGCTTGGGAGAATGCTGGAGGTGACAAGGGGGAGGTAAGAGCAGTGTGTGCCCCCTCTACAGCCAGGAAGAGTTTTGTTTCGAAGCTCTGCTCTGTTCTACAGCTAACATAAATCTTCCCTGCCATGGTATAAGATGTGCATTTAGACACAAGAATTTCCTGACAATCAATCAGGGTGTCAGACATGGTCCAGGGCTTTCTTCCCCTGGAGGCAGTCCTTGGTCTAGGACTTAAGGGTTCATGTTCATGCCTGCCTAAAGACCTGACCTTATTATGACAAACTGGAGGCCTTTTTGGTCTTGGGACTCTAGTTGGAAAGCACCTGAGCTCCTAGAGCAAAGACCATGGACGTCTGATTCACCGGCATCACCTGAGCTTAGGATTGGGAAGAGACACAGGTGCTAGACTGTAAAATGCTAAGCACCCCTTGCTCTCTGGCTGAGAGCCACAGACACACATCTTCAGCTACTCACCTGCTCCTGGCCTGGCCCTGACCCCCTTCCAGGGGCTCACAGGATGGAGAGAGGGTCTGGGGCCTCAGGCCTCTGGGAGAACAAACATTACAACAGCAGAGAGTTGAGCAGTTATGCTGCCTCAGAAAATAGTGATGAAACAGGAGGGCCGAGCTTGCCCCATTCGGCCACCAGCTCAGGATGGTTTACCTCATGGATCCCAAAGTGGGCGTAGGAGTCGAAGTAATAATCTCTGGAGGTCATCTCCTCTGGGTTCAGCAGCTTGGACATCTTGCCCCGTCCTGGGCAGCTGGGTTGAGTGGACACGTGATGGACACATTGCACAGGCTTGGGTGGGATGGCGGGCTGGAGGGGCTGCGGGGGGGCACTGCTCACCTGAGGGCGAGAGAACGGGGCCTCATGTCAGCAGTGGCATCCAGGCCCTGTCCTCAGAGGTCTCGCGCCTCCTTCTTTCCCCTCCCTGGGCCTGGCTCCAGTCAGCCAGAGCAGCCACTCCTAATGGGTGGATGGTCCCTTCTAGCTTTCCAGAAGTCACTGAGGGCTGGGATTTACGCAGAGGTGACATGCTACTGAGGAGCCATGATGGTCCGGATTTAACCCAGTTTCATCTCTTACTGGTCGGGTGACCTGGTCTATCTGGGCCTTTTTCCACGTCTGTTCAGTGGGAACATAACGCCTTCCTTCGAGGCAGTCAGCAGGCCCTCAGAAAGGCGAAGATGTACAGCATCGCACAGCATGGCAGCCAGAGGCGAGGCGCCAAGCCAGCTGACAAGATGTGAATCCCAGGTCTGCCCCTTGCTAGCCGTGCAACCATCTTCCCACCCCTAAAATGGGAGTCAAATGACCCCCATCTCCTAGAGTTGTATTGAGGAGAAAACAAGTTAGCCATTGTGATGTGCTTAGCAAAGCACCCAACACGTCGTAGTAAGTGTTGAGCCACAGTGAGTCCCACTTAGGAAAAGCAAGCCCATGGGCTTCTCTCCACCCAGCAGGTGCACTTGGCCCCCAAAACACAGGTCTCTTAGGTTTGGGTCTCACACCTGCTGTCTTCCCTCCTAGTTTCTGATGCACAGGTTTACTCTGACCCTGAGCAGAAGTTCATTCTCCAGTGTGAACGCCCACCCTGATGGACACCTTCAGCCTGCGCCCTACCAGTTCCTGCTCTTTGAGGGCCCCCCAGGGCCAACTGCCGCCCCCTCTACCCCACAGCCGCTGCCCGTGCCTGACTGGCCCCTCCTTATGCACGGGCTAAGGGGAGGAGGGAGAAGGGTGACAGCTCAGAGAACTTCACCGAAAAGAACACCTATGCTTGGAGGAAAGCCTTCTCCGCCTGGAGGGTAGGAAGTCCAGGTGCATGCACAGCTGGCTGAAGGCCTCAAAGCAGTGCAGAAGTTTAAAGAATAAGGAGGCAGTATTATCCTCTGGGGCTGGGAACCAGGGCTTCTGATCCTATTGTGGCTCTAGTAAAATTAAAAATAGATATAGGGAGGTAGATGGTGTGGTGTTAGCGCGCAGACCTGGGGCCACTTCATGGCTTTGAGACACAGCCATGATACTTGTTGGCTGACAATGACCTTGGGAAGCCATTTGTCATCACTGTGCCTCAGGTTCCTCCTCTATAAAACAGAGATCATATTAAAATCCACCTGAGGGAGTTGTCAAGAAGTTGGAATGAGTCCCTATATATAAAGAGTTTAGAACACTGCCTGCTGTTATTATTACTATTATTATTATTATTATTCAGATTATATGAACAGAAACATGTTGCCATGTTTTCTCATCGGGGAATCTGGGAACTAGATCAGCTCAGAGTTATTGTTCTCTTTTCTAGTAAGGGATATGGGAGGTCCTAGGTCAGAGCAAGATCAAGAAATCCAAGTGATGCCATTCCCTGCATCATGCTGTGCACCCAGCCCCAAGACAGCCCTGTGTCCTGGACTGGAAGGGAGTGAGCTGGGGGAGTGTGATGGTCCCATTTTCCTGGTGGATCTAGGCTGCAGCCTCTGGGAAATGAGCAGGCTTCCCAGTTTAGCAACACCAGGTTTCAGGTCGGCGAGCTGCGGGCTGGCTGGCAGCAGCGTGGGGCCTGTCTCATTAGGATGCAGCAGGTGTGCCCACCCTCAACTTGAGATGTTGGTCACGGTCTCCAGGAGGCTAAAAATAGACTGTGTCAACTGCACACTCCTGCGCTGGCTGCAGAGTCACCTCTAAAGCTGAAGAAGGCTCAGTGCATGACGCTGACCCCAATCTTGATTCTATTTAAATATATTAAGGAGAAAAAAGTCCTAGCGGATCCAGCCAGCATGTGTGGCCAGGGTCACAGAGCCTCCTGCACCCCTTAGCTGCCATCAACTCTGATGCCAAGACCCCCTTTTCCATGGGGTCACTGAGACTCTTCCCTGCGAAGTCATCTTACAAAGTGTCTACCATGTACCACACATCACATTCATGAGGTAAAGGGGCAGGCGGCATTTGCCCCGGTTGGTCATGGGGACAAAGAGGTGACTGTGGCTCAGTCCCTGGTCTCAAAAGCTGTCAGCCCAGTTCAGCCTCCTGCAAAGGCAATGGCACTCTGCCCATCAGCTGGCAGGCATACCCTGTCCCAGAGGCTGAGAGTGGGGTGGGATAAGCAGAGGCCATGATCCCTGGGCATTCAGCAACCTGGGGTGGTGCTTTTCATTCTACAAATGCCTCCTGAGCACCAGCAGCACCAACCCTCTGGGTGTGTCCCATGGAAGAAACCGACATGTAGGAACAGTGCCCTCAAAGGACTCTGCTCTCTAGTAGAAGTGTGAGACCTTTGAGGGCTCTGCCAGATAATGGAATAAGATTTGTTTTACAAATTGTTCTGGGTGTTCAAAGGAGAGAGAATTTGCTTCAGTGTAGAGTCAGGAAAGACTGGGATAGCTGGCTGGGGGTTGGGCAGGGTGCTTTCTGAGTGGTTCTGGTAGGTGGAGATGGCAGGAGCAAATTCCAGGAGGAGGGGATGGCTTGTGCAAACAGGTAATGGGGTGGAAACGCAGGGACCTTGTTTGGGGAGCAACTTGGCAGAGACAGCGGGAGATTCCGTTGAAAGGAAATTAAGGCTGGGCTAAGAGGCCGTCATTAAATACAAGACAAGGGGGAGCTGTTGGTGGTTTGTAACCAGGAGTTCTATGCTTGAGCTCTACTTTAGAAAGACTAATGTGGTGGCAGTGTACAGGAGGGGTGAGGAGGGGAAATGGAGAGTGCAGGACCGGGGACTACAGAGGCAGGCTATGAACTGACGAGGCTGTTTCCATAGTCCAGTCAAGAAATCATGAGAACCAGAACTCCTGTTGTGTTAGAGGGGCTGCCTGCCAGAGAAATGGCAGAAATAGAATCCATAGGAACAGGCAAGTGACAGAACGTGTGGGAAAAACATTTCCAGCTTGGGTGATGAGGGAAACGGTGGTGACATTAACAGAAACAAGCAAGTCAGCAGGAAGAGCAGGTTGGGGTTGGGGGAGAATAATGAATTTCAATTTGGATATGCTAAGTTTGAAATGTCATTGAGTCATATAAGAAAGGATGCCTAGCAAGCAGACAGTAATGCAGTTCTCATCAGTTAATATCATAAACAAAATGGAAAGGCAAATGATAAACTGAGAAGCATCCTTCTAACATATATGGCAGACAAAGGTTGATACCCTTAATATAAAAAGAGTTCTTACAAACCAATAAGAAAAAGATGAAAGCCCCCAATTTGGCAATGGGCAAAGGATCTTACAGTCACTTCACATGAGAATAAATACAAATGACAAATTAGCATGCAGCAAAACTATTCCACCTCCCTAGAAATCTGGTAACTTCACATAAAAATCAAATGAAGTTATAATTTTTAAATTCCAAATACATTTCACTCCCTGCAAAGCTACAAACACTCCGCAGTTCCAGTGGGGCTTTTTTGGGGGAAGGTAGTTTGATAAAATCCATTAAAAGTCTTAAAAAGCACAAATGTTCTAATCCAGTAATTCTCTTTTATTTGGAATTTCTCTTAAGGAAAACATCATGGAGAATCATGAACGTATAGCTGTAAGAATTTGATGACAACACTTCCTAACAGCAAAAGCAGGAGTCAACCTAGAGGTTCCACAAAACAAAACTGATCACATAGACAGGCGCAGCCACACGCAGAAGGCTGCGCAGCCATTAGAATGTCATGGAAGAGTGTTAAACAGCACAGAAATACGATCTCGGTAAACCGTGGGCTGGGGAGAACAAGGGGGAGGAGAAGAGACAGTGTGGTCACATTTTTAAAGTTAAAACCTATTCATGCCCATGTGTGAGGTGGGGAGACTCAACCAGGCACCAGAATTGGCACTGGGGGTTGGACTAGGAATAGTTAATTCTTCCCTTTCTTGTGTTTGTTTATATTTTCTAAGACTTATGCCCTTAACACATACCATTTTTGTCAAAGACAAAAGGTAATAATATTGGGAAAAGAAAGGACATGAGATCCCAGGAGCCTGGAGAGAAGCTGAGGCTTGTGCTCAGGATTTGGAAAACCCCTGCGCGGAGGGGCTGAGGGGTTCGCTTGGGAGAGAGCCACGCACTGGGAAGGAGGGAGGGGATGGGGTGGGCCAGGGTGACACGCCAGAGCATCCTCCTCTGCGGGCCTCAGGCCTGCCAGGGGACCAGGGAGCGAGGCTTGGGAGGACGTGTTCTCAGCCCTCGTTCTGCGACTGCCCCTGCTCCAGGGATATGGGGCCTGAGCCTCACCTCTAGCGACCAGGAAAGGGCAGCAGAACGGACAACCTCCGTCCAGCCTCACCCATCAGGAAGGACGCTGTGCTTGGAAGTTGTGTGTTACCTCTAATGCTGAAGCAGCCTCTGTGTGTGACACTGACCCCAGTCTTGACTCCATTTAAATATACTAAAGGAAGGAAAAGTCCCCTCTGATCCAGCCAGCATGCCTGGTCAGGGTCACAGGGGCCTCCTGTGCCCCTTAGCTGCCATTCAACACTGCTGCCAAGGCCCCTTCTTCCATGGGGGTTACTGAGACTCCTTCCCCAGCAGCCCACTTACAAAGTGTTTACCACATACCCTGTGTCACGAGGCAAAGGGATGAATGGATTGTGGTGGGGTGGGAGCATTCACCCCAATTGGTCATGGGGACAAAAGAGGTGACTGTGGCTCAGTCCCTGGTCTCAAAGGCGGTCAGCACAGCTCAGCCTCCTGCAGAAGCGATGGCACTCTTCCAATCAGCTGGCAGGCGTGCCCTGTCCCGGGAGGCCGGGAGTGGGGTGGGAAACAGCAGAGGCCATGATCCCTGGGCATTCAGCAACAGGGGTGGCAGTTTTCATTCCACAAATGCCTGCTGATATCAGCTGCCACCAAGGCTCTTGGAAGAAGCA